AAAACAAAATAAATCTTATAATAACCATAAAAATAATTAATAAAAGGCTGGAGATGAAGTTTAGTGGAAAATACAGGAGATGATCAACAAAAACTAAACCGTATGAAAATGCCAGAAGGCAACAGGTTAACTTCATACACAATTTAAATATGTATGCATGTATTGTGGTAGTTTTAATGCAAATAGCCCCCACAGACTCATAGGAAGCAGCATTATTGGAGGTGTGGCCTTGTTGGAGGACTGTGTTCTCTGGGGGTGGGTTTTGAGGTATCAGAAGCTCGAGCCAGGCCCAGTGGCACACCCTCCCTTCCTGCTGCCTCTAAATCTTCACATAGAACTCTCAGTTCTTTCTCCATCACCGTGTCTGCCTGCACGTCACCGTGCTTCCCACCATGATGACAATGAACCAAACCTCTGAACTGTAAGCCGGCGCCAATCAAGTATCTTCCTCCATAAGAGCTGCAGTGGTCATGGTGTCTCTCAGCAGACCCTCAGACACGTGTGCATATCTATCACGCTGATTGTGCAATGTGATACAATTATAATTAAGTCTTCAAAGGGGAAATCCGCACAGCAATTGTACAATTAACGGAAGCAAGAGCAAAGAGAACACAGATTGACACATTTAAAAATAATTATTTAAGCCAAAGGAAAATCAGCATAGCAATTAAGTCACACCCTGAGAGCAGAGATGAAGAGAGAAACTGACAATGTGTCAGGGCTTCTGTCAAAACTTAGATCTGCAAGGGAGAGGGAAGCCTTCGGGACTTTTATTATCAAACAGGAAAATGTGGGTTCATGTTGAGTTTTGCATTCAGTTCCAAAATTTAAAAGTGTTCTGGGTATGATGGCATATCGAAATCCCAGCACTAGTGAAATGGAGGCAGGAGGATCAGGAGTTCAGGGCTAGCCTCAGCTACATAGTAAGTGTGAGGATAGCCTGGGCTGCATGAGACCATGTCTCAAAATCAAACAAAATCCCAAGAATTTACAAATGTATGAATAAAACCAAATTAAGAGAGGAATGAAGAGGAAATAATAAGAACAAGAATGGATTTAACAAGGTAGAAATGGAAAATACAGTTTAGAAACCAGAATCCATTCTTTGGAAAGAGAATAAACAGAACCTGGGGTTGGTGGTTAAGAGCTCTGGCTGCTCTTGCAGAGTGGGCACAGTAATGTACACCTTTAATGCCAGGAGGAGGGTCTCTGTGAATTTAAGACCAACCTTGTCCTGAAGGGTGTTCCAGGACAGCCATGGCTACACAGTGAAACCCTGTCTAAAAGCAAGAGAAAAGGTGGAGAAGAGAGGAAGATACCCAGGTTCAATCTTGGTCTTCCACACAAGAACATACAAGTAGGTGGGTACCCTAACACATGCAACTCATACACACACACGTTTTAAAAACTTCTAGAAAACATGAGCTGACAAAAGTCATGAAAGAAACTGACAAAGGGGTCAGCAAATCAACTTCCTAAAAAGGGTAAAACTTAAATGATCCCACGAGCAAATTTGCCTAATCGTAAAGGAAGGGGGAAATTCTGGAATGATGCAAACTTCTTCAGAGCAGTCAGAATAGCATGTGTGTGTGTGTGTGTGTGTGTGTGTGTGTGTGTGTGTGTGAGGGTGTATGTGTGTGATGTGCATTATGGTTTATGTGGCGGGTGTGAATATGTATGTGTATGTTTGTGATGTGTGTGTGTATGGTTTATCAGGTGTGTGCAAGTTAGTGACATATGTATGCGTGTGTGTGTGTGTGTGTGTGTGTGTACAGCTCCCCCACTCCTATGAGAGGAAGTAGCATACCTTGATAGTGAAATAAAACACCATGATGTACAGAATCTAGGAGGACAGAGTAACAGACCTTTGACCAGAGCAAAGGTAGTTCTGCTTCCGGCTAGCGTGACTCCAGTCCTCACTAGGTTAACATGCAACGGTAAGCTATGTCCATCAACAACGCAGAGCAGTGTGGACACATTACAAACCCAATGCCAGGCAAGCCCTTATCCACTAGTTTTATTTTAGTTTGCATTCCAAACGCCAAAATCTGGAAAATATTAATAAGCAACATCAACTAACATGAATTTACTTATACATACCTCTTCAAAGATAAATTTGACTTGGGGATTTACAAGACCCCAATATAGACTACTGCTTTCACTGTATCTTGAAAATAAAATTTCCTGAAGTTCAGATTTACCTACACCTACCCTATGCCTCCCTATATCATAACTCTAACAGTTAAGATATACAGAAAGCCAGGTCTACCTGATTCCAAAGATTACACTTTTTTCCTAATGGGAAAGTCATGTGAGGGGTTGTCAGGTATTTGGAGGAAGAGCTGTCATTCTGACTCAGGGACAAATGCGACTGAAGTCTTGTGATGACATCTTCAAAAGAAGACACACCCCCGAAAGCCCACGGGAGTTCGTTCACTACAGTTTCCCTAATTACATATCTTTCTTATCTTTTCTTCACATTATATACCTGAAGTAAAATGATCTTTATTCCTGAAAAGTCCTAAGAGTTGTGGCAGCCAGGTGCTGTTGATGTCTGTGGTCCATGTTACCACCAAAGGCCAGGGGGTTGCCCACGATCTGTGAGGCCACCAGAAGCCATGTTGATGTCTGTGGTCTGTACTGTCGCCAGAGACCATGCGGAAGCCCATGATCCTTGCTGCCTCTGACTATCAAAGGTAAGGAAGCTTCTTTTGCAGTGGTATTGATGATCGCAGACTCACATTTGAGAATGGGAGACACGGAAGGCTTGTGGGACAATCTCTCTTCCCCATCCCCACCCCCAAATTAAAATCAAAAAAACAGAATAGACATAAGGCCATTGAAGAGAACTCTTTAAAATTGTGATAGGGATGCTGAAATGTAGCTCTTCACAGTTGACGGCCTCTCGCAGGGGTAGGGATGGGGAAGACTCAGCTTTAAGGGGCTGGCCACTGGGAGTTTGACCATGCTCCAGTGAATATGTGCGCAACACAAATTGGACTCCTCCTCCTCCTCCTCCTCCTCCTCCTCCTCCTCCTCCTCCTCTTCATCCTCGTCTTCCTCCTCCCTTCCCTTTCCCCTCCTTCCCTCCCCCTTTCCCTTCTTCTGTTTTAGGGGCAGTCAGAAGCATGGGGGTGGACCTGGGAAGGCTGGCAAGTGAATGTTATTGGGTGTATTATATGAAATTTCCAAATAATTAAAATTTTATGTTAAAAAAAAAGTCCAAAGAGGCCTAACTTCATAGCTGGTCTTATATTATTTCAATAGGCAAACCTTTTTATTACTTTTCTCTGGTCTTAGACTGTCATCTCCCGGTGCATGGTAACAGCAATATCTGAGGAAGATTTTCTCAATGGGTCGTCAAACAACCTGTTACAGAGTGACTCGCTGAAAATAACAAATGGCACCAACTGCGGCCCAGTTTATCTATAAAGCATTATTAAATACAAATTCTTTTCTTAATAAAATACTTGTTTTTGATTTTGTGTTTTTGTGTATACACACATGTATGAGTGATCACAGAGGCCAGAAAAGAACATTGGATCTCCAGGTTGCGGTGAGCTGCCACATGGGTGCTGGGAACCAACCCTCTCTGAGTACAGTAAGTACTCTTATCTACTGAGTCATCTCTCAGTCCCTGAAGCCTCATTGTAAAAAAGAATTGACTTGAGCTGCGGAGACAGCTTAGTTGGCAAAGAGCTTGCTGCACAAGCCAGACCGTCTGAGTTCGGAAGCCCACACAACGTATTGTAATTGTGTCGTATTTTTTTTTAAATATTTATTTATTTATTATGTATACAATGTTCTGTCTGTGTATATGTCTGCAGGCCAGAAGAGGGCACCAGACCTCATTACAGATGGTTGTGAGCCACCATGTGGTTGCTGGGAATTGAACTCAGGACCTTTGGAAGAGCAGGCAATGCTCTTAACCACTGAGCCATCTCTCCAGCCCTGTGTCGTATTTTTATATCCCGTGACAGTTACATGCAGCAGCCTATTCCTACTTTTTGCATACACGCTTGTGTTATGTGTGTGTGCGCGCGCGCGTGTGTGTGTGTGTGTGTGTGTGTGTGTGTGTACATGTATGTGAGCTGGAGGGCAACACTGGGTATCCTGGGTATCCTAAACCAGTAAGGTTTTGAGACAGGCTCTCAATAGCCTGGAGCTTACTGATTTGGCTAGACTGGCTGGTCTGCAAGCCCCAGGGATCCTTCCGTCTCTCGGTGCTGAGATTTCAGATGCATAACTGCTCAAGGCTTTTGACGTGTCTGCTGGGAATCCAAGTTCAGGTCCTAGTACTGTGCATCTAGCCCTTTACCAACGGAGCCACCACCCAGTCCTCATTCCTCCTCCTTTTAGACGGAGTTTCACTGTGCAACCCTGGCCAGCCTAAAACTCACTATGTCGACTATGTGGGCTTCAGACTCACAGAAGTCCACTTACTTCTGCCTACAGAGCAGAGCGCTAGGATTCAAGGTGTGCACCGGCACGCCTGGCTCCTACTCCTACTTCTCAAAGCTCCTTTGGGGCCACTCCCCCATTTACCAACACAGACCTTTCTGCACTCCAGGGCTACCTCCTGCTCCCACTTAACCACTTCCACCTGACTCCCCAGCCAGAGCTGCTCACAGGAGCTAACAAGGTGACCTTGGGCCTCTCTGTTCCTCCTCTTCCTTCAGCAAGGGAAAGAAAGGCCTGTTGGGCTTCCTAGCAAACGTAAGCCGTGTGCCCCTCTACTCCCTGTACCCCTGCAAACTCTTGCATCAGCATCTGGTCCTTTCTGTTACCACCCACTCCTCCCCCCCCCGGGGCTCAGCTGAGAGACAGTCGCCAGTGCCACTCATCGGGATGACAAGAGAATAAGAATGTCTGCTCTTACTGCTCTGCTCTGGAACAGCCTCAACCCTTCACTCACACCAGCTGAAATCCCCTGCCCTGCTGGCTTCCCGCATCCTCTGCTCAGAATTCTCTAGGAGGAAATGCTACTTCCTTCCACCTACCAGCCATCTGGAAATCAAGGATGGCGGGCACAGAGCGCCGGGGAGGGGCCACAGAAACGCGCACAGTGTAGTTGGCACCTTGTTGGAGGTGAAGGCACACTTCTGGGGTCCTGCTGTCTGTGGTCACGTTGACTGTCTCCTCATGAGCGGATTCCACAGCATTCGACTGCTGTCTTTCAATGTTTATCTTTAGAAGAGGAAAGACAAGAGGATCCACCATGACTTGGGTCAGAACGACAGAGAGACTTCGTGGTACTCTGCGCTGTTTCCTCTGCCTTCTCATTTCAGATACTGTGTAACCAGGGAGGAGAGAGAGGGCCGGCTCTGCTGTGGGGGACCTGAGGACAAGATCTAATCATCCCAGGGACCAATGGGTCCTCAGCTGTGATAGAAGTGAGAACTACCACAAATGTGAAAGATTTCGGGGTGAGTTGGGACCTTTGCAGGCTCCATGGAGTTTGAGGAACCATGTAGGAAACAGGATACAACATGCAGAGAGAGTTTGGGGTGTATGAAGTTTTATTTAGGAAGAGGGTGTTGGGAAGGTTTGGTAGGGTGGGGGGGAGGAGAGATAGAGAGACAGAGAGAGAGAGAGAAAGAGGGAAACAGAGAAAGAGAGAGGAGGAGAGAGAAAAGGAGGGGGGAGAGCTGCCTCTTCAGAAGAAGAAGGAGAGAGAGAGACTGGGAGTGGGCAGAGCTTGTCTTTTAAAGGGACAGGGTACTGTCTGGATTCATTCTTCTGCCAGGTGGTCATAATGCACAGCATGATCACAACACAATGACCAACAACAAAAGGAGGACCTAGCACCAGTTCAGCGTATGCTCCCAGCCTTCTGGGGGAGAAAGGATAAGCACTTGGAAACAAGCCCTATGAGGATGCCAAACAGAAATGCGTGGCCCACGTCCACATTCCGTTAGACATAAAATATGTGGATATCTTAAAAATCCCATTCACTTTTTAAAAGGGCGCTGGAGCGAGAAAACATTTAGCCTGATCGTCCCGTCTCTCATTCTAACCATACAGTTGGTGGACAGCGGCATTAAACGGTATAATCTGGCGGTTGTTCCTAGTTACAGAAACGTCATCATTCTACCTTCATGGTTACTTGTGTGATGACAGCATGTAAGACCCATTAAAGAAAACCATCCTTGGGGCTGGAGAGATGGCTCAGTGGTTAAGAGCATTGCCTGCTCTTCCAAAGGTCCTGAGTTCAATTCCCGGCAACCACATGGTGGCTCACAACCATCTGTAAAGAGGTCTGGTGCCCTCTTCTGGCCTGCAGGCACAAATACAGACAGAATATTGTATATAAATAAAATAAATATTTAAAAAAAAGAAAACCATCCTTTTCTAATAGAAGGAGGTTAACAGTATCTTCTAAACCTGTCTTAGCTTTGAGTTGGCTCTAACTGAAATTCTTGCTTAAGAGGGTATCCCAAGAGAGTTTACAAAATGAAGGAAGTTCACCCAGGCTTGAATATGCAAGGAATAGCCAAGCAAGACTTTACACCAAGTGATTAACCATGCTGCTTCATGAGTTAAAATAGCTGGAGCTTGTTATTATACATTTGCAATGTTATTGTACACTTCACTTTATATGACTGAAGGAAGGAAAAGACAGCTGAAGGGAGGGAGGAAGGAAGGTGGCAGAGTGAGGGGGGCACGTGTGTGTGAGTGCATGTGTGTGCATGCGTGTGTGCTTGCGTGTGTGTGTGTGTGTGTGAGTGCATGTGAGTGCATGTGAGTGCATGTGTGTGCATGCGTGTGTGAGTGCATGTGTGCATGCGTGTGTGCTTGCATGTGTGTGTGTGAGTGCATGTGAGTGCATGTGTGTGTGTGCTTGCATGTGTGTGTGTGTGAGTGCATGTGTGTGCATGCGTGTGTGCTTGCGTGTGTGTGTGAGTGCATGTGAGTGCGTGTGTGTGTGTGCTTGCATGTGTGTGTGTGTGAGTGCATGTGTGTGCATGCGTGTGTGCTTGCATGTGTGTGTGTGTGTGTGTGTGTGTGTGTGGCGGAGGGGGTGAAGTTCCCATGTAGGCCACGTCCTCCTGGCTCACACTTCCATCTCTGCATTAGGAGGGGAAGCAGCCCACGTTACTTACCATGTACATGATCTTGGAGTTTATGCTTTCCGGGCTTATGTGCCACCTCACACAGCTGTCATTAAACACAGACACATCATGAATTTCGACCACTATTTCTAGAATAGGAAAAGAGAAAAGAATTGACTCGTGAGCTGTACCAGTGGGCTCTGGGAGAATCCTGGCGGACGCGGGGCATCTGTCCAGCCGGTGTCTCCCTGCTCACCAGTCACGCTCTGACTCAGATGCTGAAGTGAGCAGTCTGAGCGATCCCAGATGGCTCCTCATGAATGAGCCTGGCCCACTGCCTGGCCAGGCAAAGAAAAAAAAAAAAAGATTACTGCCTGAGGGTGGGGAAGAGCTCCAACTGTGATTAGCCTGATGGGCCACTGGATGCCACTGGTGTTCCTTCCATCAGGTAGGCTGGAGCAAGTCCAGAACCCATCGGATTCACAGCTTCCTTAAAGCCATACCGGGAAGTCGCGGGAGTCTGCCTTCCTCATCTTACCCTGGGTGGTAGGCAGTCATTCGAGTGACCGCTGTTCCCAAAGGGAAAATGGCACGTGTCACCATGCAGGGTGACTCCTCGGGAGAAGCTTGGAATGAACTAAGAAAGTTCTCCATAGAGTCCCTGATCACCCTGGGATTCTGCTAGCAGAAACCACGTGATCCTGGTATGTGAGAAGCCATGATTTCTCTGGGTTCTGCTTCTTCTAAATAACCTGCATCTCTATTCCATGTGATGAATCCGGCAATGTGGGAAAACACAAGAGTTCCCTTAAATGACAGTTCCCAATGGACCCAGCCAGCCAGCGTGGTATGCGGAAAACCTACCTTTTCATTTTTAAAATCAAATTGGCTATAAATATTTAAAACCATTTCTATTTGCAAATGGCATGATCTTATTTGCATACACTCTGAAGGAATTAAAACTTTGAAAAAAACATGAAAGCCGAGAAAAGAGCTCAGCAAGGTTGAGGGGACAGAAGGTTAATATGTGTTACTGTACAACAGAAATGAATGATTAAAGGAAATTAAGGCAATTTCTTTTACCATCAAATCGAAAAGGGGAAAAAACAAAACAACACTTTTAAGTTATGCATTTCACGTTCATCTCTGGAGAGAAGAATTCTCATTTAATCCAAAAGGAGAAAGAATATTCCACCGCCCTGTTCAAGCTTCTCCTGGAGGCAGATATCTCACAGACTCCTGGGTCTGGTGTGCACTAGCCCTGCATCCACTTTGACGACGTGACTGTGCTGTGCCTCCTGATCTGGGGCTTTCTTGCTGTGGCTCATGTACTCCAGCACAGGCAGCCTGGACAGGAGAGGAGCTAGATGCAGCCTGGAGCTAGCGGACCAGTCACTGCCCTTTTCTCCCTGGAGGCAACTGTCCTAGTGACTGAGTTTCCACAACCATTCAGAACGCTGTACCAGCAGGGGAGCAGTCCCACCTACCAAGGGGAGACCAGGACATTATGGCATCTTCACACTGGTTCTTTCTTTCCCTTATTATCCCTCTTGGCCCCCAGTCCAGATTCCTGGAATTTTACTCCCCGTCATATAATAGTACAAACTCCTGGTTCTGTTTTGGGAGAAATTCAAGGTAAACCCTGCATCAAGACAAGTGAGTAGACTGTTTGCCTCATAGGCATGGAGGCTTGGGTTTGATCCTCAGAACCCATGCTTGTTTGTTTGCTTGCTCATTTATTTACTATGGTTTAGTCTGATGGGCTGCTGGCTATCACTGGTGTTCCACTCAAGGAGGCCGGAGCAAGGCCCAGAACCAAGCCTGGTGTTGCATGCTTATAACGCCAACTTTAGGAAGGTGGCGACTGCTGGATCCCTGTCCCATTTAGGAGGTGCGCTCCACGTCAGTGAAAGACCTCATTTCAAAAGCCCAAGTTTGGTTCCCAGCACCCACATCAGACAGTTCACAACTATAACTCTAGCTCCAGGGGATTTGACCCAGGCACCAGCAACCACAGCACACCCACACAGACATATTAAAATGAAAACAGCGAAACAGACGTCTCCTGTGGAACAATATCCAAGGTTGACCTCTGGCCACGCACCCATGTGTTCACGCATGTGTGCGTGCGTCTGTGTGTGTGCGCGTGTGTGCATGCGTGCGTCTGTGTGTGTGCGTGTGTGCATGCGTGCATCTGTGTGTGTGTAAGTGAGAATTATAATTCCTTTACCTGGGGAGATAACATTCCCCTAACTAGCTCCTGTCCCTTCCCTACAGTAAAGCTCTTCTTAACCACCAAGAGGAAAAAAAAGAGCCTGAATTTTAAAACCTGCAGAGCTAACTCAGTTTTCTTGTACAGAACCAAAGACATATTCACCTGGTCTACTTGGCATTAACTACATTCTATGTCCCACTGCACCTGTTTTGGGGGTAAATCCAAACTGTCTATTAATAAGTGAGAATAAACTGAGGCAGAGAAGACAATGCAAATTTCTGCAGAGATATCAGAATATCCGCGATGAAGCCTAAAATAACCCATAGGTTCCCATGTCAGTGATTCTCTTTGGAATGTGGGGAATGTGGGGAAAAAAAGAATCCAGTTGCCAGCATGAATAAGCAAGGAGACGTAAGGTAACGGCCTTGTTGGCTCACCTCCTCGGGCAGCAGTGGTGATGCTGGTACCAGAGTAGCAGCCTGGATAAATGTCAAGTATACTGACCACTTCTGCAGCTATCTATCCTTCCGAGCCCCAGAACGCTCAGCCTCTCCGCTCACTCACACGGCCTTCTGATACTAACTCAGCAGCTGGTTCACAGGAAACAGAAGTATCTCTCTCCCCATCTTCTCCCTGATTGCCAATAAAGCAAATAGCCTTCCTATTTGGGGTGCCTGTGTCATCCAAGCAGAGATTGGAAAAGGGTTTCCTTTCTTGATCTTCCTTTTTGCTCATTCACTATGACAACTGCAAATGACATCTCAAAGCTGCCATCTGCCTCCAGACTGTGCCACGCTCTGCACAGATGGGACCCAGATCTGATTACAGAGGAGCCAGATATTCCACCCCAAAGAGTAGCTGAGCAGAGTTGGTGACTCTTCCCACCGAGAACCTACAAACGGGGTGAAAAGACTTTTTTTTATAGTGCTGCCCTTTGAAACTACGACTCTTGCACGCTAATTCTAACTTTCCCTATAACTGAAAAACACGCACAGGCTGACAAGATGGCTCGGTGGATAAAGGAGCTTTGCCAGCAAGCCTGATGACCTGAGGTTGATCACAAACTCCTACGGAGAGAACACACCTCCTAAGTTGTCCTCCAGCCTCCATGTGTGCACAGTGGCATGCATACACCAACACCTACACACAAATAACTAAACAGATGTCATAGGCATTGAAAAGAGGGGCTGGAGAGATGGCTCAGAGGTTAAGAGCACTGGCTGTTCTTCCAGAGGTCCCGAGTTCAATTCCCAGTACCCCACATGCTGCCTCACAACCATCCGCAATGGGGTCTGGTGGCCTCTTCTGGCCTGCAGGCATACATGCAGGCAGAACACTGTCTGCATAAAAAAAAAAAAATCTTGAAAGAAAAGAAATTGAAAAGAAGGGAAAAGGAAAAGAAGAAAACCACATAGGGAAGTCTTTGAAGCGGCCTCCTCTTCATTCACTGCTCACAACGTACAGAATTGCTCCCCGTGAGGAGGACTCCACCTCCGTTCTTCCCTCAAGGAACACATTGCCCAATGGAAGGAGCAAACACGGATGCAGGCAGATTGCATTATTACGGGCTCCACACAAATACTGAAGGGCACAGAACGGGAAGATAGCAGCTCTCACTGGAGGACCCGGGAAATTCAGTTTCACTGAGGGCGCAGCCTCGGTAGATAAATGGCTGCAGAGGAGGGAGGACGCGTGAGCAGAAAGAACGGGTCTGAACACCGTGCTCGTGAAAAGGTGAGGCAGGGAAGAGCAAGTGTTGAGGGGGAGACGTCAGGTTGGTACAGAAGTGAGGCCACAGAGGACGCATAGGAGGGGACAGGGACGGGCTTGCTTGCTGGATTAAAGGCACACGCCTCCAACCAGAGACAAGCTGCAGGATAACGAGGGGGCCAGTTTCCCATTTGGAAGGAAGCACTCAAGCGCAGAAGAACCGGAGGTCATAAAATAGAATATAATACTGTTTACTCAATGACAACTATATGTCAGGCTCAGACTGCTCTTGACAGACTTGATCTCATTTTCCCAGCAGTCATAAGAAGCAATAATAAAAACAATAAGAAAGAGAGAACACTTATTGAATTATAACTATGAACCAGAAAGTGGGCACAGGACTTCAACGTTCAAAATATCCTGATGACTAGCCATCACCGTGTCCATTTTATAGACCCGAGGCGTGGATGTTAAGAAACCTCCGAGGGCCAGACAGTGTGAGGGACTGAGTCCGGACTCACAATTAGATGCATTACACCCCACTGCTGAGAGCCTTTAAACTGAAGCAGATACTCAGACAAGAGGTTAGGACATGAAACCGGGGTACTGTATTATGAAACAAGAAACAATTCTGAAGGAGATGAATGGGAGGTGACGGAGCAGGAACAGAGAGGAGCCCTGGCTGACAGCCAGCCTCTGTGCTCAAGGGTCTGAATGAATCACCCTTCACTGCTCTCCAGAGAGAGTGGGCTGTAAGAGGGAGCGATGAACTGGTTTGAGGACGCGCTGGATATGAGCTGTCTGCTGGCCGTCCAACGGTCAAACAGCCTTAAAAGCCATGGATCTGTGAGTGGAAGACAGGTAGTGAAGGTGAGACACAGAAGTAGGTCATAGAGAGGGGCTCAGTGAGAGAAACCCCGCTGCTCGAGAGACCTGGGAAACAAGGGCAGTACGGGGAAGAGGAAGGGGAGGGGCTAAGGGAAACCGTGCTCAGGAAGGGAAGGAAGGGGTGTCACTTTCTTAAAACAGCCTCCCGCATAAAGCCCAGGGGCAAGGTCAACCTCCCTCCCTCTATCTTTTGTCCTTGCTGAGCTGCAGTCAGTCCCACTTAGACACCAGGTTTGACCTTGGGCAGAAGTAGAAAGAGCAGGCCTTCGTTCTGTACAGTTGTAGGACAAATAGGCAACTCCAATTTGACTTAGAGAAGGGTCCTACAAAGTTTGGTTATGAACAATCTAATTCTTTCCTTTTGTGTGTGTTAAGTCCTAAGTTAAAGTCATGTAAAATGGGTAAAAGTGAATTTACAAGGTGTGTGGTGAATTTTTGTGGCATTTGAATAAACATTTATATGTTCATCAGGTGTTAATTTTTTGTGCACATTGGGAAAAACACATCTAGCTCATCAAAGTCATGATATACCCCATACTACAAAGAATTCTTGGTTGCTATATTAAAACTACAAATTTAAATATCTGTCAGGTGTCTTGGGGTTTCTCTTGCTGTGAAGAGACCCCATGACCGTAGTCACTCTTATAAAAAAAAAACATTAAACTCGGGAGGCTCGCTTTTAGTTTCAGAGATGCGGTCCATTATTATCGTGACAGGGAACATGGCAGTGTACAGGCAGATGCGATGCTGGAGAGGTAGCTGAAAGTCCAGCATCTTGCAGGCAACAGAAAGTCGATCGTGACACTGAGCGAAGCTAAAACAAAAGACCTCAAAGTCTGCCTCCACAGTGATGCTCTTCCTCCAATAAGACCATACCTACCCCAACCAGGCCATACCTCCTAATAGTGCCACTCCCTTTGGGGGCCATCTTCTTTCAAACCACCACATCCAGCATGGTGATATATGTCTATAGACTGAGTTGCTTAAGAGGCTAAGGCAGGTAGATCTCTTGAGAACAAGAGTTTAAAACCAGCCTGAGCAACATAGCAAAACTCCATCCCAAACGTGACTGTGTGTGTAAAACGTGTGAATATATATATATGTATATGTGTACATATATACCATACATATGTGTGTATATATTATTTTTAAAAACAAGATACGTAAATCACTGTTTAGTTATGTCAAAGATAATCAGGATGTTATGCAAAAAATTCAAGCTTGGAAGAACAAGAACAGGAAAGTGTGGGATTCCAGGACCCTCAGACTTGAGTTCAAATCATAACTCCATCAAGTCCTAGTTACAGAATGACCCTAAGAAAATTGCTTAACCTCTGCGAGTCTCAGATCACTCGGCAGTGAAATGAACCTTGCTTTACAGGTTTCCTGTGACAATGAAGTGAAGTCAAGCATTAAAGCCCCCCCCCCCCAAGAGAACCCTGGGCGTGCAAGCTGGTGTTTGGTGATCAGAGCAATGATGTTGGTAGTGCAGATTTTACACACGTATTCATACCCAATGCAGTTGTGTGTCTATTACGGTAATGTGCCCATTGACCCAGCCAGCTTTCTTGTCCATTTAAAACAGACAGAGCTGCAAGTGAGCACACACTGGACTGACGAGGAGGGTTGACAACCAAGGAGGGACACAGGGTAAGAGGAGCTTGGGAGCATTTGCAGTCGTAACTGGGAAGTTATGGAATGTAGAAAGGATCCTGGCGGATCGGCAGACTCTGCTTCAACAAAGTCATTACTCCCCCAAGAGCATGGAGTGATGGAGGGACAGAGCGTGGAGGGTTAACCTTGTAATTATTAACCCAGACTCTAAACTTAAAAGCTAAATGACCTGGGCAGAATGGAAGCCGGGGACAGCCTTATCAAGAATGAATCGGCCCCTTTGATCTTGAAGTAAACTGACTCACTAATGTGAAGCTTCCACCTCGGGTTTTTCCAGACACTAAAGCACTTGCCTAATTCCCAGCTGTCTGGAATTTCCAGTTCAAACTGGCCTGAGAGAAGAAGGAAAAAAAAATCCTACCATCTTCTTAGAATTCATACTTAGTGAAAAACATTACAAATCCATGCCAATAATGCAGAGGAATGGGGCTCCAAAAATATCTGACGGTAAATAAAAACAATCTGTGTACAGATAGTTCACTCCACCCAGCTTGGAATTAAACACGGAAGTACAGAAAGAGGGGTACAGGGAGTGAGAACGGGGAAAGAAGCTAAGCATGAACACTGAGTGAAGGAAATACAAAATACACAGGGGGAATCGGGACGGGGGATAAAGACGTTGATGAAAAACAGGGGAAAGAAAAGAGAAGAGGGGCGGCAAAGCAAGAGCCATGACAACCAGCATCTCTCCCTTTTCCAGAAGCTTCTCCAGCCTCCCCTTCCGTGAATTAATCAGCATGTAAATCATTCCCTTTATCTGTAAAAAATCGAATTGAGCTGCCAGGACTGATGGAGGGCACACAGCCTCCTCACAGAGAGAGAGCCTAGCTCCCCGCGAGAAAGCCTTTTTCTCTCCTTCAGTCAAAGCCCGCCTCAGCCCATGCCACAGCTGCAGCTGGAGCTCCAGCCTTAACAAGAGGTGAAAGGCTGAGGACAGTAATTATAATTAGCGGTTACATAACATGTTTGTTCTTCAAAGTGCTGTACAAGGATCAGCTGATTAATAGCTTACTGGGCCCCGTGCAGATCTCCTGGTTTTTCATGTATGACTAATCCTTGTGCCCCCACTGAATTCTCAACGGTGGCAGCAGAGGACCTTCAGCAACGCGGCAATCCTGGGGAGAGCTGCTTTACCTTTAAGTCTTGGAGCTGCTGCAGGGCTGTGACAGAGACCACCTGTCTGGCTCAGTTTGATTCTAGGGAAACCGGAAGCGCCTGGAGTCCTTGGTCTTTGCTACACAGGCTTGGCCTTGCTTCTTTGCTCAGCCAGCGAGGCGTCTCCAGAAGAAGCTAGTATAGAGTTGTGGGTTCTCGTCTTCTGTTTTCTCCCCACTCTCTAGCCTGCATCTTTTGCATTTAATATGGAGATGGCTGAAGGTAAGAACTTTCTGCCTACTCCGAGGATTCTTTACCCACAGACTTCAGCAGTCTGTGATGGTTTGCATTTCTCTACGAAACATTACAAGAACATGTGAACACGCATTTCCTTGGGTAGAGGTCTGACTCTTCTACCACACTGTAAATTCCAAAACAGGAGTGTTCCACACACAGTGCACACTGGTCTACAAAGTGAGTTCCAGGATAACCAGAACTACACAGAGAAACCCTGCCTGGGAGGGGCGCGGGGGGGGGGGTGAGGGGTGGAACCAATATAATACATTTTTTGTATTTTGTGTTTTGATACAAATAAAACTGAAATTCCTTGCATTTGCCATCTTTTGCCTGAAAAACTGTCATGCCAAAATGTGTTAAGAATATGAGAAAATGGTTCATAGAATAGATTTTCTTCATTGGTTAAGGAGAGAAGGCAAAAAAAACCCATAATGAATTAAATTATGGTATTTTAGAAGAATCTCAGGAGCCATTTTCCCAAAAAGTATAGTAGGGACTATTGTCCTAAGAATGTTTGCGGGGAGACCCACACCCAACTATCTTGAGAGCTGTTAGCAGAACCCGCCCCACATTCCAACTATCTGGAGAATTGTTTGTGGTTGGAATCACAAAAGGAACGATTCTGCTTGCCTAGAGAACACTAGGTGTGTCGACTCGTGACCGTGGCTGCCCTGGCAAGATCCTTTCCAGCCCTTGCCATGCCCCTGCCCCCATCCCAAGCCAAATTCCTCATTCAAGGGCTGTATAAGCCACAACCATTTCACTAATAAAGAGAGACCTTGACAACAGAATCTTGCTTGGTCTCATTCCAGTCTCCCGCCCCTGTCTTTTTCAGATAGCGCCTCTTCGGGACCTTGGAATAACTGACCCGCTGGGCGGGTTACAAAAAAAGAACACGTAAAGTTCGCTGCATAACTTATTTTCCCAATCTGCCTTCTAAACCATCAAGATTAAGCTGGTAAATCTACAGCCAAGTGCCCACCCAAGCAGACAGCGGAGGCAGGCACAAGCCACAGGGAGGCAGCTTCGTGCTCCACCCTCCTGCTGTTGCGTCCCCAGGTAGCAGGGCCTAGCAGAACCGAATCTGTACCTGTGCACGTGTACGTGATTTCACTCCAGCCTTTCTCCGTGCAAACAGAAGTGATCTTTTCTCCAGGACTCTCGAAGCCCTCCTGACAGACATAGTGAGCCACACTGCCCAGGCTGGAGGTGGGATTCCCCACCAAGATGGCGTTCTGGACTGCGGGAGGGCTGCCACAGCTGATCTCTGCAACGAGAGGCAACAGGACACCTGTGATGAGCCCTGCCTTCCGTGCCCACAACGAGAATCTCAGAAGCGAGCATGTCATGATGACAGGGGCCATTCGTCTGGGGAAAGAGAAAACACAAACTCCCTCAAATAACTCAAATATAATTATGTAAAATTAAGGTTGTTCAGAAGTACAGGAAACTGGTATGCCTGGATTTAATGAAATTTTCAAACGTGCACCCAGAGAGAAGAACTGAATTATGAGATGGCTTAGGTATAGAGCTCCCTGTCTGTGAAATAATACATCTTAGGGTTTATTTACATACGAAAGTTCTGTAGAACTTTTTACTGTGCATCTTCGGGTCATTAACTCTTGCATTGGGGATAGTGCATTGTAGCAACCGTTATCAACCGGATAGTAAATAAAATATAAAATCCTTGGCTCTCTTGAAGCGAGGCAAAGCAGAAAGTGCCTGTCTTCCTACATTCAAGTTGCAGGCAATTCCCAGGGGCAAATGACACTTGCGGGGAGACAGACAGATCAGAAAGTACTGAACTGATATGAAGTCTCTCTTCTGCAGCTTTAAAAGCCAGTGGACTATCTACACAGAACGTTGTGGGAAAGAAAGAGCATGACGTAACCTAACCAGCTTAGGCCATCCAAACCAGACCTCAGAACACAAGGCAGTCATCATCAGCCAGACACTTTCAACTTTCAAAAATGTTCTGTATGTCTTTTCTGACAAAAACGCAAAAGAATCTAATAATATACTGATTTAATACATACTTGTAAGCCCAGCGCTTAGAGGGCTGAAGTAGGGAGACTGGACACTGAAGGACCATCCTGGGCTGCAGAGTGAAACACTGTCTCCAAAACCAAACACTTGTTGGATGAACAGATCACTTCTTACTCTCCTCCCCTTGTCCTCTGGCTGCAGACATTGTTCATGGCCTCTGAGCTTTATTTTGTTCTCTTCTTTAAATTTCACTGATTGGGATGACTTCGGTAGTGGGGTTCACCTTTCAGACCTAAGCCTACTTTGCCAACATCCTTTTGGGTCCCCCCTCCCTGCTTTTTTAGTCATTTCAGAAAAAAAAAAAAGACACAAAGCAAGCAAATAAATATGAATCAATGTGCAATTCTGTCTTTAATACTGAATCACCAGAAACCACCCAAATGTTTATCAAAAGAGAACTGGGTGCTAGGTGTGGTGTTCCGCCTATAATCCCAGCACCCAGGAAGGGAAGGCAGGAAGAATAAGAATTTAAAGCTAGCCTTGGCTACAAGACGCCCAAGAAGAGCTAGAGAAAATTAGGTGAACAAGCCACAATGCTACTGAGCAAGTCATAAAAGAACTAGAAGGATCCACACACTGGTATGAAAAGATGCCCAGGGTACAAAGGCATGGTACGAAGACAGACATTGGGTTTCATCTAAATATCCAGATGTCTTCCTTTGCATGGTTTCCCTTTGATTCCAAATAACCATACACATATGCTGAGCAATGGACTGTATAATGTGTGTTTAAAAAAATACATAGGAACTTGAAAACACTGCTTATTGTCTGTCAATAGAGTCTTAGAGTTCTTACCCACACCCAGCATCAAAAGTAACCTAGTCTAATAAGAAAAGGACTCAGGATCGGTCTGTCTTAGGAAATGGGGATGGGGAAACAAGTGTCAGGAAACACATGGGTGAACAATGAGACTGGCAAGTATGCAGACAAGTCTCTATAGCCTGTTAAATGGGAGGGACCACTTGAAACAGCGTTCTTAAATGACTAAAGGTTGAGCAACGTAAAACAATTAGTAACAGAAACACGATTCCAAAGTTTTCCAGTAAAACTTGAGCAGGGAGGCTTAGGGACCATGTAAAGCTAACTCTGTCACCAGGGGGGACAGAGGGCAGTTCACAGGGACAATGCTACTCTAGAAAGAACAGCAAACGTAAGGGGACTGGGAATGCAGCCCAGTGGGTAGCGCCCTCAGAAGCATGCTTGAAGTTCATCCCCATCCCCACTAAACAGAGAGTAGGAGTGCCTAGCTGCACCCCAGCATTTAGGAGACAGAAGCAGGAGGATTTGAAATTCAAGGTAAGCTTTTAATCCCAGCACCTGGGAGGCAGAGGCAGGAGGATTTCTGTGAGTGAGTTCCAGGCCAGTCAGAGAGACTGAGAAACACTGTGTTGTAGGAACTAGAATTACTTCCCTAAGAAACACTTCCTAGATCAGCGTTCTCATCTGTTGCCGTTGGAGTTATCCAAAGATCTATTATACACATAACAGCCCAGCCCACCTCAACAGTATTCTGGCTGAAAGGGAGCTTTCAGTCAACACAAACTCAAATCAAAAGCAGTTGTGGGACCAGAATAAAGCGGTGACTTCATAAAGTCCCAGCTCTATCTCCTTAGGTCCATGTTTGCTTACAGGGATCTGTTCCCTTTTCATACGTGTTTACCAAATACAAGACCCCTTGGCTCTCATGGTGTTTTTCCAGCATCAAACCTCTACTGGCCCCAAATATTGCTATCCATCGGTAATATTTGTGTGTACACGAGCAGTCAACCAAACAAGTAGTTAATGTTTCCTAAGGCTGCCCAGTCACTTGCATAAAGAATTTCTAGTTTAAGCTAGGATTTGCTAGAGCAAATCGAAGAGGAAATAACAGAGAAGGGTTGAAAATTGAAACATCAATGAAGAACTGAAATTAAAAATATACTTTTGTTTACCTTGAATATGGACTCCTAAAGATCTCAGCAGTGATGTTAGAAAAGGAACCCAAGCTGGGTGGTGGTGGCTCACGCCTAATCCCAGCACTTGGGAGGCAGAGGCAGGTGGATCTCAGTGAGTCTGAGGCAGCCTGGTTTACAAAGAAAGCTTCAGCACATCCAGGACCATTACACCGAGAAAACCTGTTTCAAAAAAAAAAGAAAGAAAAGAAAAGAAAAGACGAAAAAAAAGAAAAGGAAAAGGAACCTAGAAATAGATACTTAATAGAGGAGCGTAGGTTCTAAGAGAGTAAGAATGTGGAAGAGACAATAACAAGATTGGTTTCCATCTCAAACACATTCAAGAGTAATGGAAAGCATAAAGATTTTAGTTGTGCTTGCAAGAACTTTATAATTTCCAGTAAAAAAAAATATTTACCAGATTGCTGAGAAACCATTGGCTTGGTCTCTAGAGAGGAAAATTCAAAAGGCAGACAGTACCTAGAGTTCTGTGAGCTCCCATTACAGAGACGTTCAAGTTGCACAATCCCCTGGCAGAAGAGATTTAGAAATACCGTGTGATTCGAACAAAACACATTGTTCTAAGCACTTTTCGATAAGAATGGCATAGGGAGCATATGAAACGCATGCATGTTGACTATTAGGTCTTCGTGTGCAATGGGCCCCATGTCTGAAGACTTGCTCTCTGGCCAGTGGTACTGGTTGGGGAGATTGCAGAACCTCTTGAGTGTCGGTCCACACTAGGAGACATATGCTGCTGAGCATAAGCCAAGGACACTATCCTAGCCCTGCTTCTAGACCTTCTACTTCCCAGTCCTCCAAGACGTAAGGTATGCCACGAGCTCCTGGCTGTCACGGACAGAACTAGCCACGGAACAGGGCTGTTTCCCTTGAACTATGATCTACAATAAATCATTCTTCCCATTAGTTTTCTTGCCACAGCTACCAGGAGAGCAACTAATATGGAAATCAGTGCTAGGAAGTAGGTCACAGCTGTGTAAACTTGACTGTGTGGTTTACAGGCCTTGCTGGGGTGTTCTGTGTAGCAAGGGTCTGTTGAAGAAAGAAGGCATTCCAGGGTGAAATGATTTTAAGTCCTTTGTGGCACTAGGAAGGTTCAGCCTCTCTGAAGGACTGAACCCCAAACCTTACACCGGCATATTTATCGATTGTCACACAAAGTACTTCCTCATGCCAAGGTCCCTAATTTAACTTATATGTCTTACTGAAGGACAGCATCACAGGCCCTCATGGCTCTGTGTCTGCTATGTATTGTGTGCAATACACAATAATACAGGAGCCTCAGGTGTGCCTGAGGCATCTTGTGACCAAAGACATGGGACAGCTGCAATGGCCCTTCAGCAAAACAATTCTACAGATCATGGGAAGCAAACATTGCTTTCCAGAAGGAATCTTCAAGGTCAAAGTTCTTCCAGAAAATAATGATTCATTCTAATGTCTACTTCAAATACAGCGACTCGGCTTAATTCCCCCAACAGGCCTTCTGAACGAGCTTGTTGGGGGAACGGTGGAGAATTTAGAGCCCTGGGTTAAAGAAGCCTTACTATACTGTGGTTCTCAACCTTCCTAATGCTGTGGCCCTTTAATACAGTTCCTCATGTTGTGATGACCTCCATCATAAAGTTACTTTGTTGTACTTCATAACTATAGTTTTGCTACTATTGTGAATTGTAATATAAATATCTGATAAGCAGAATATCTGACATGTGACCCCTATGAGGGGTCTTTTGAATCCCCCAAAGAGTCACAACCCACAGGATGAAAACCACTGCTGCAAGCAGAGCCGAATGGGTCATTCTGGTGGAAGCTGGGAAGATCTGACCACCAAGAGAAGTGACGGTGAAGGCCAAGCTCATGAGGTTTCAGAGAACAAGGGTTCTGTTGGGATTGAGCGAGGGGCTATTTGTGCTGCACACTGTCAAAGAGTCTTGTTGGAATGCCAGAATGGTATTTGTTTTTACTCTTTCACTCTTTGGACTCTTTGGAGGCCCATAACCCAGCTCCCAGATAAATCACACATGGAGGCTTATTCTTACTTATTTATGCCCGGCCTTAGCTTGGCTTGTTTCTAGTCAGCTTTTCTTAACTTAAATTATCCTGTCTACCTTATACCTCTGGACTTTTACCTTTCTTACTTCTGTATATCTTACTTTCGCCACTCTTACTCCATGGGTGGCAGGGTTGGATTCTGTACATGGGGCTCCTGACTGAGCTGTGCATGAAGCTGTGATGGTCATGGTTGATGCGTCAGAAATGTGGCTGTATGCCAGGACACCTCAAGGTACCAAGCAGAGCTGGCCCAAGAAAAAGGACACTTGTACTTCAGGTACCAGAGCTGTATGGGGTGGAGCTACTCAAGGCCCTTCGGAGTCCCAGATGATAGTACCACAAGCTCTGGATACTGAATACATAGCTTCAGAGGCTGGCACTTCCTCGATGGCTTTCAGCCTTGGTTTGGTCTAGCCTTTCCTTGCTATCATCAAATTTCTCCATTTGGGGATGGGAAGATTTCCTCTGATAGCCAGTGTGTACTGGAAATACATAAGTTGTGTTTTAACTTCACAGCCTGAAGTATGCCTATGGCTCACAAGAAGACTTCAGACTGGAGACTTTTGATCAGTGTTGAAACTGTTAACATGATAGGGATCCTCGGAGTTGGGCTAAATGTGTGTTTCACTCAGTGATGGCCCTGAGCCTTTTGAGGCCAGCAGTAGAGGATTATGATTTCAGTGTGACTTGTCTTTCAGAGGCTCAAGCGTTTGAAGACCTAGTTCCTAACTTGTGGTACTCCATTGGGAAGCTGTAGAAACTTTGGGATACAGACCCTTCCTAAGTGACGTGGGCTACTGTGGGCTACTAGATCTTGAGGTTTATTATACAGACTGGTCCTGACTCCAGCCAACCTCTCTGCTACCTCACTTTTGCGGACACAACAAGCTACTTCATAAGTTGTCACTGCCATGAATCCAGACTCTTCGGCCACAGTGCCTTCCTCACCATGTTGGACGCTACCTCCCAAAACATGACCCAAGAGAAACCACTCATCCTTGGGATAGTCTGTGACAGGTAGTTTGTTGCTCGTATGATGACATACTTCCCCTGTCTCTACCCAGAGAGAACTCCTCTAGATCAGGAGTTCTTAGTAGAGGCCTTAGACGCCTACATTTTTACAAAACTCGGCTGATTTTGATGCACATCCCCAGCTGGAATTTGGGGTGAGATTTTTGTTTCTGCCATTTGTTGTTTTGATTTTTCTTGTGCGGCGGTTTGTTTAGTTTTGTGTGTGTTGTGTGTGTGTGTTTGTGTGTGCACTCACGTGTGCATGCTCATGCATGTTTTTGCAGTCTCTTCCTGTGTGGACCAGGCTGTCCTAGCTGGAGCTCACAGCGATGGAATCTGAATGAAAGGATGGTGTGAATGAATATCTTTAATCATCACATGAATTTCCAATAGGGCTCACAGACTAAAGAATTACTGCCCGTAGCAACCCTCCATGGTAAGGAGGAGCATTTTCCCATCATACAGGTGGAAAACAGGCATTCAGCATCACAGAAGTAATTGGGGAGGTCCCAGAGCTCACTCAAGAGCTGCTCCATCTCTGAGATCGTCCAGTATTTTCCCCTCTACCTATCCTTGCTTTTGCAGGAGCACTTTTTCCCTCAGACCCAGAGGAATCCTTCTCTAGGACTAATCCTCCTGACTGATAGAGCTGCGGGTTCCCTACTCTCTTGTGGTCTGTGCTAATTTGTTCAGTGCTGCGTCTGTCTGTGGGGTAACTAGTTCATGCTGGTCACTTTAGCACTGAACACATGGACAAAGTTGTCGCTCTCACAAAACCTAGTGGGTCAGTAGACAAAAAGAAAAATCATCAGATGAATTCAGACTGTGGTAACAGTTAAACATGAGGTAAGAGAATGTGATGGCGTTTCCAATACAGGACCAGGAAGAGTGTCTGAACTCTCTGGAGATGGAACCTCTTCATTAGGACCCGAGGGATGATCCAGCCATGTGCAGAACTGGAGAACACCTCAATCAAATAAAATAGATCAAGACAACAAATGCTGACTAGGATGCAGGGGGAGGAATCACTAAGTGTAGCTCACTGTTGGTGGGAGTATAGGACCGCCAACATGGCAGGACAAGGTTCCTCAGAAACTTAAAACAGAATACCATGAGATATGGCTATCCCATTCCTGGGTACATGTATTGTAAGAAGTCTAAGTCAAAATGCTACAGAGATACACACTTGTTTGTATTTAATGATGGGCTGTTTACAACTATCAAGTAAGGAATCAGCCTGTGTGCTATACACACATACAGAGACACAGAATCACTCATTCAATAGAGCATCACCCTGCCTTAAAGAACAATTAAACCGTTAGGCTCCAGGGGACTGTCTGGGACTGCAGAGCACCATGTTAAGCGATGTAAGCCGTTCTCAGAAAGTACCTCATGTTTTCCTTCAGAAGTGCAGTCTGTATTTTTTTTAAGTTTTATTTATTTATTATATATACAATATTCTGCCTGCATGTATCCATGTGGGACAGAAGAGGGCACCGGATCTCATTACAGATTACAGATGGTTGTGAGCCACCATGTGGTTGGTGGGAATTGAACTCAGGACAACTGGAAGAGCAGCCAGTGCTCTTAACCTCTGAGCCTGTCTTGAAAGACAAAGCAAAGCAAAACAAATCAAAAAAAGCAAAGCAAAGAAAGAAGAGAGAGAGAGAGAGAGAGAGAGAGAGAGAGAGAGAGAGAGAGAGAGAAGAAACCACCTCCCTGGTTCACCACGCTGGACTTGGATGGAACCATTTCTCTGATTTGTCACGCCACAGATACCCCCACAAGCTTAAAGTCGTTCCTATCAACAGTCCAGCCAACAAAGTACTAAATTAAATTTCTATATTAAAACCTTCTAAAGCCCGTACCATCACAAGGGAATAAACATTAGAACAGTTTATATGCAAAGGAAAGAAAGATAAGAGCACAAATTTGCATGGCACATGCATGCGGTTGCTCGTTAAAGAGCATGTTTCCCTGGCTAATTACAGTATTAAGTAAGGACGCCTGAACCTGTGCTAGAATACAGTCGACTCATTATGAGCATGGCCAGGAATTTTCCCTGCGTCTCCCATTGTCTACAATGTTATTTGAATAATCAGCTTCAAAATAGGTCTCCCTGGTGGGAGGACAGCATTGTGCAGGTTCCAGAGATCACATTCATAGTGGAAAGTCACATCTCATCTTCAGGTGTGGGTGTCTTCCTACCCATGAAAACACTCCAGGAAGAGATCTGCCTGACGAAAGCTACAGTTAACTCATGTGCAGCATTTAATCAAAACCGACCGCACCGCAATGCCCCCCCCCCCATTGGCTGCCGTTTATTAGAAACATTGGCACAACGGTAGGGATTGATGACGGAAGCAGCAGAGTAAGAGAAGGCTTCACCCAAGACTGTTTAAGAAATCAATCGATGATAAGCTAAGAAAGCAAAGAAAGTGACCAAGAGTGCCCATGGGTTGGGGCAGGTGACTTGCCAGTCCCCAGGTGAATGGATAATACAGTTATTGATTGTACTGTTGACTCCAACTCCCCCCCCCAAAAAAAATTTTCCCAGAAAAATAAGTGCATATAAAACTCTACAAAAGAGCCGGGGGTGGGGGGGGTGGCACACGCCTTTAATCCCAGCACTCAGGAGGCAGAGACAGGCGGATCTCTGTGAGTTCGAGGCCAGCCTGGGCTACAAGAGCTAGTGCCAGGACAGCCTCCAAAGCTATTAGAGAAACACTGTCTCAAACAATCAAACAAACAAACAAACAAAAAGTGTGCGTACAAGCTAAAAAAAAATATTAAAGTCAATTTTTTATTTTTATCCAGCAATAATTGGATCAAATCAAAAGTTTTAAAAGGCACCTGGAGCGTAGTGGAACGCGGGATCTGTAAGGGCCCAAGCTACGTACGCAGACTGAGCCCAGAGTTTACACTACCCTCGTGTTTGGAATCAGATAAACCAACACAAGTCCTAGGCTTTGTGGATTGAACCTACCATCCTATCTTCTGAAACACCCCTGCAGGTGTGGGGTTACTCCACTGTGAAGGGCAGTGACCTTATCCACAGGCAAGTGATACAGCCTGAGGAAAGAAGCTAAAATCTGTGAGTGGCAGCAGAGTTCCTCACACTGGCCTGCACGCTCTGAATTTGACCGAGTGTCATTAGGCCCTCCCCACAGGGCTGTTTGGGCACTCCATGTGTCCACCATGGGTTGGGGGCAGGGCTGGAATATAAAGCTTCAGGCTGGGGGAAGCTGGATTTAGAAAATGCTATTGTAACTGTCAGAGGGAAACGGGAGAATTATTCTCTGCCATGACGCTCTCTGTGCACAGAGGCTCATTAGCTGCCCTAACGAAGCTAATGGACTCATTAGTACCCAAAAGGCCACTTGCCCTTAAGGCAGGAGGAAGGAAAAAATTTTCTTTTGGTTGTATTTTGTAATCTGAAGCCTTCTATCACTTCAGTCCTGAAGGACAATATATCTTCTCTAGCTCATGTTCATAGAGAGAGCTCTTTTGGAAGAAAAATATTCCATTTCACACAATGACTCGCACTGTCAATAACTAGTGTCTAGTTTGGAAACAGCTAGAACTGAAACACTTCTGAAGTTGCGGAGGAGGTGACAGGGTGGGTAAACGCGTGTTAGGAGCGAGAATGGGGGGGGGTGGTATCTGCATGCTTGTCAAGATCTTCTATTGGTAGAGGTGTTAATCATTTGTAAGGCTTTCGGACCACCGTGTGGAGGTTTCTCTTCTCAAAGGGTAACATTAGAGCCCTTCATTTTAATGTTCCAGTTGTAAACAGACTCTCTGGGTTCACAACAAATAATTGAGAGAACATGAAGACTGAAGAATTTCACATCTAGCCAGGCATGGTGGCGCACGCCTTTAATCCCAGTACTTGAGAGGCAGAGGCAGGAGGATCTCTGTGAGTTCGAGGATACCCAGTCTACAGAGTGAGTTCTAGGACAGCCAGGGCTACCCAGTGAGCCCCTGCCTGCCCACCCCGCCCCATTGTGGATGGTGCAATGTCTGGGCTGGTGGTCCTGGGTTCTATAAGCAAACAGGCTAAGCAAGCTATGAGGAGCAAGCAGGTAAGCAGCTCCCCTCCATGGCCTCTGCATCAGCCCCTGCTTCCAGGTTTCTGACCTGCTTGAGTTCCTGTCCTGACTTCCATCCGTGATGAACAGTGGAAGAGAAAGCCAAATAAACCCTTTCCTCCCCAGCTTGCTTTAGGTTATGGTTACATCACAGCAATAGAAATCCTAAATTAGGAGCCCAGTTACAGTAATCCCCTCCCCTCTGCTCACCACTGGGTTGTAATTCAAAACTGTAAGCCCTTTAACCTGCCTCTGGCAGCTTGTGTCTTTTCTGAAAAAGACGAAATAACAGGCTTATGGGGGGTTCAGGAAGGCAGTTCTCGCGTTTCCCTAGAGCTAATGAAAATGTGTGACAGGTGTTTCAATACAGTCACCTCAGTGGGAAGGGGACACTGGGGCTGCTGTGGAAGCTCTTAGACCTCACGTTCTAGTACAATTTCGGGTCTAATGGAATGGAGGACTCCATACTTCCGGCCCTACTCCAGGGGCTACAGAGACCGGAAGACCAATGTCAGCCATTTACTCCTCCTTTTCTGATAAGGGAAGCCCATCCCCAGAGCCACAGCCTGAAACCCAGCTGTTCCCTTCACAAGCACCCTGCTCCATAGCAGCCAAATTCACAGTTTCAGGGTGTGTTTGGTGGAATTCCCAATTCCCGTAGTTTTAGAACCCAGCTAAAAATACAGTGTCGACAGGCACATGGCCCAGAATTGGGAGCCAAGAGAAGGCTGAGGGGTAAAAAAGAAGGGTGCTTCTGCAAGGGGAGCAGAGGAGGCAGCGAGAAACTGGGGCCCTGTGGTGACATAGGTGGGGAGGAGGCTGTGGGCCTGCAGGGGGACACAGGAATGACTCTCTAACAATGCCCTGGGGAAATGGAAAAGCTCCCTTGATGTGGGAGTGATTTCTTATTAATAAAGAAACTGCCTTGGCCCATTTTATTGGATAGAAAATTACGTAGGTGGAGTATACAGAAGAGAATTCTGGGAGAAAGAAGGTTAGAGGAGGAGTCGCCATGATTCTCCCGCTCCAGACAGACGCAGGTTAAGATCCTCCCTGGTAAGCCAGCTCGTGGGCTACACAG